GAGTGTCCGTCATTCGTACGTTAGATAGTTTAACCTAGAGATTCGCACACATCTTGTAAAATCCCCATGTTTGTCATCGTACTCGTTTTCGTCCCAAATCCCTCGTACCTCGCTACTCAATTTAACGTTGGCGCCTGACACGTTTGTTTTGACAAAGTTTCAACGCGCGCGAAAAACGCGAAAAACACTAACCTCGTGTGTTCTCGGAGGATCTAGTATAAACTGCTCCACCAGCATAAAATAAAACAACAGTACACCGATTTCTAACCGCATATTTTATCTCAAATACCTGTGGCGGCAAAGTATGCCATCTAATGGATGTTTTATTCCATCATGACTTTCTATCTTCTTTAAAACGTTCTAACTAGTCAAATGTAATTTTCTTTCCTGCAAAGCTGGCAATACCTCCTGATTTCTTCGCTGACATGTATCCTCTTCCACCAGAGCTTCCTCCTCTGCCACCACCTCTACCTCCTCTGCCACCACCTCTACCTCCTCTGCCACCACCTCTACCTCCTCGGCCACCACCACGACCTCCAAACCTGTCCCCTCCTCGACCTCCGCCACGGCCACCGCCGCCGGCACGATCCCCTTGGCGGTCGTTGGCAAAGTCAACACGCACTGCCCGTCCATAAATATCGGTGCCTGCCAGCTTCACTGCTGCATCGGTTGCTTCAGTCTCAGCAAACTCAATGTGACCAAATCCTTTGAAATCGCCAGTCTCGCGGTCTGTCGCAAAACGAATCTGGGTGATAGTTCCGCAATCCTTGAAGCATTCTCGAATGGCATCTTCATCTACCTCCCAGGCCAAGTTTCCAATAAACACAGTGACGCAACCCTCTAGCTTTTGAGTCAGTTCCCGAGGAGCCATGATGGGTTTCGGAGTCGAATACTTGATTGATAGCCATCTACCGTTGAAGTCAGCCCCGTTGAGTTCGATCGCTGCTGCTGCAGATGCCTTATCATGGAACTCAATAATCGCAGTTCCAGAGCTGCGACCATCATCTTGAAGGGGCAATTCTACAGACTTCGTCCCCCCACCACAAGACTTAAAGAAATCTTCAACTTCTTCTTTGGTGGCTCTCCAGGGAAGCCCTCGAACGTAGATCTTTTCGATGCCATCTGTGTCTTCGGCAATTGCCTGCTTTTTTGTTGGGGGCGCTTCAAAGGATTCATATTTATCTTTGCGCTTCTTTGTGATCTTCTCATCTGCATCTGGAAGATCAGAGTCAGGAGTGGCGTCAGAATCGTCGTCACTGCTATCGCTATCACTGCTGCTCGAGGAAGAGTCGTTGCTACTGACTTTCTTTCGATCGTCGCCTTTTGCAGCCGATTCCTCCACATCGGAGTCTGATGAGCTGTCGCTGTCACTACTGGAATCGTCACTCTTCTTGGCAACATCAGAGATTTTCTTGTCCTTCACCTCTTTTCCATCGGAATCAGAATCGGAATCAGAAGAGTCGTTGCTAGATGACGAGGAGGAATCCGACGAACCGCTAGTCTCTGAGACTTTTCCCTTCTCCTGAAGCTCTTCATCGTCGGAATCAGAGTCCGAGTCTTTACTTTTCTCCTTGACTGTACCTTTTTTTTTTTTTGATGGTGCTGCATCTTCAGAGTCAGAGTCACTATCACTGTCATTTGAGTCGCTGCTGTCCGACGAGGAATCACTTTCAGCTTCCATTTTCTTTGCCTGTTCCGCTAGTTCAGCAGCTTTTCGAGCGGCTTCTTCTGCAGCCTTGGCCGCCTCCAAAGCAGCCTTCTTTTTAGCATCCTTCTTTGCCTTCTTTTTGTTCTGCAAACCCCATGAGATTAATTGTTAGAAATCAACTATAACAATGGCAGCTTGAATTCGAATGTCTTTACTTACGTCCTTGGTTTTTGTACTTCCCATGATTGATTTACGATTCTGTGCACAAGAACTGTGAGTGGTAGGATATCTTTTGTGAGGATTTTCGTACCACAGTATTTTGGGTGGTTGAAGGTCGGCAGGTCGTATGGAGTACCGTACGACGGAAGAACAATGCAAAAAACGTACGATGGAAAATCGCGTCGGAGAAATCGAATAAAAGTAGCAGGGGCTACAGTAGAGTGCGCGTCAGCAGGGGAAAACAAGAGGGGAGAGAGAGAGACTGCTAACGTATGCGGTGCATACTAATGTTGGAGAGAAACCAGAACCCTTGACACATAGGTAACCGAAACAGAAAAGTAGTATTTCGCCTGCATGTGCCAATCTAGATACTAATCTGGCGTCAGCCTTACTGGTCCGCCCACGACAAGGGGGCTACTGAATTTGCGTAGCTTTTACTCAGCGTTCTTGCGTGGAAGCTATTTTACTTAGCGACGGCTTCCCAAAACTTTCGCCGAAAATACAGTTTTTAATGTACATGTCATTGGGGCAGGCAGTAAGGAATTTTGGGCGGTCGTTAATGGTAACGTCGTTCGTCCGTGATTGCATTGTGCTCAAAAGATGGTGGTCCATATTTGGGACATGGATGGCTTGATGGAGGACAAGGATGATGGTTTCACCGGTGGTTGGTCGATCGTATGCAATAGCAGCAGTGACAACCTCAAGTTGGCGGCTAGTGGTGGAAGGATCATAGCCACAGACATCCACAACCTTTCCAGAGCGCGAGACGATCATCGCTTGGGACCCGACACAAGTGGTGTCAGCGTGGGAGTCCAGTTCTAGCGTGGTCTCTTCCGCAAGCGGGTTGGTCTGTGTAATTGCAATAGTTCGGATGGCACTGATGGTGCGAAGCTGGACAATGCGGGGCTGGCTTCAGTCGTTATCACCTGGTTGGCCACGGTTTAGCGCAGGGTTGGTGCGGTTTCCGTTGGCAGCATGACCAGGAGTGTTGCCTCCAGTCCGGTCATCGTTGTCATTGCCATCCTGTGTACGGGCAGACTCCTTGGATTCAAGCTTGGCAATACGGCGTTTCAATTCTTTGAAAGTAGTTCGGCCATTTTTCTTGTCAGTTTTCTTGCCTGCTCCAGAATCCTTGGGAGCTGTCTTGTCCTTCTTGGCGCCATGTTCAATTTTGCGCTTCTTTCGTTTGCGTTCTTCCATGATTGCGTTCCGTTCGTCTTTAGGCATTGCATGCCATTTGTTTGGGGGTCTATGCCTGGTGTCGACCGAGGCAATGTGTCTTCCGTCACGTGATCGTTTGCCCAGGACAAGGGTATCCTCTCTGTTGCGAATGAACCCTTTGATATGAGCGACCGATTCGTCAAAGCTGGTCCCCATGGTGGGGGAAGCGATGATCATGTTAATAGCTGTCAGATGGACTTGCTCTACAGACCTGAATGGGAGCCTCAACGCCCTGTCTGTTTCAATGAGCAATCCCTGAGATCAAATCTACGTCGGCTATGGTCTGCCTTTGGGCACCAGCGACTCTGGGCCTCAGCCTCTGGAATAAGCAGTAGTCTTATTCAATCAAAGGTCTTACTTTATTATCTCCTATACTTGCTTGGACCTCAACGTCCACAATACTATTCTTGCCAGAACTCAATCGATAGTGAGACTCTCGATTGCAGTTCAAAATCATCTTATAAATTCTCACGATTCTCATTCTTGATCACCTTTCTACGTGATGACGCGTTCTGACATACTGCGTTTCATATTACGCACGATCGACACTCACGTCACTGCCGCGTCACGTCACATAGACCATTGATCAATAATCGACCAATATGATTGCTCAATATGTCAATACGTCCAACACACTCCTGTCGTTTCACCAGCGACTCCAGTTGATGGAACGAAAAAATTACTTCTCAATGCAAGTAAAATATTCAAGATCGTTCATCAGGACTAATCCTGGTCACCTTGAATTACAGCCCGGAATTTGCGAAACTTTTCGCCCTGTAACGGCTTCGTCATGTAATCTGCCCACATTTCATCAGTTGGCATGTGTTCAATAGTAATGTTGCCCAATTCAACTTGATCCGTCACAAAGAAATACCGAATATTTAGCGCACGGCTCCTTTTGCCTGCGCTCGATCTCCCATTTGTCTCAAGTAGGATCGAACTCTTGTTATCTTGATATAGTATATTCTTCTCGATTGGGTAACCTTGTTCTTCCATAAATAAGCGGGTCCACAAAATATTGGACATCGCATCATGGACTCCAATTAGTTCAGCATGTGTACTGCTGTCACAATTCAATTTCTGCTTTCGTGGAATTGCTTGCACTGCTCCAGTGCCCATTGTCATCACAGCTCCAGTATGACTTTTGAGGTCTGGATGAACAGCAAATGATACATCGACATACCATTTAATCACGCGCAAATCATCAGCGCTCAATGTCAGATGCCATCCTTTCGTAGAATGAATGTATCTCATCAATCGAACTAGTTTGTGCCAATCACTCAGATTCGGAGATTGCACCCTTGATGCTAAAATCGATACTGTCGGACTGATGTCCAGACGAGCACGTTTTGACAAAATAACGATTTGGCAACAAACGAATGGAACACTTCATGTCGTTCCTTCTCAAGCGGTGCCCCTTTACCTTTCTCCAGTAGACTATTTCCAGCTGGTGTCTCCTGGATCTCATTGTCCTTAAACTTGACTGGAAACTCACTCAGCATGCGATCCACATAATCATCCATGCGAATTTTCATTTTTCCGTTCTTCGAAAAATCCAATGTCATACCCAAATAAGTATGAACTTTACCTCTAGTGCATGTGACCTCCTTTAAGCCACCATATTTCTCATTCACCCATGTGAAAAAATCTTCAAGTACTTGTTGTTCCA